ATTTCCAAAACCCCACGAGGCGCTGGACATTAGGCACTGGGGTACCATCAGGGTAAGGTACCCACCCCAAAACGTCCAACACCACCAACTCCGGCACCTCTTGGCCTGGTTCTGTAAACCTCTGACCCATGTTGGCCCTCCTGATGTCCACTGTGAAGCAAGCTTGGAAAGCCTGAAAGGTGTTGAGCTGTGGGGGCATGGGGGTCACCGCCTCCATCTCAATGAGGGTGACCCATGTGGCTTCCTGGTTAGCACCAGATCCCCGCTCCCACAACTGGTGCACACCAGCTTTCTTGGTGAGCCCTGGAGTTACAGCTCCAGTGGCACGGCACACCAGGACCTCCTGGTCTTGGGGGTAGGTTGAAAGTTTCCACACAACCCCCGGTTTGTGTGGTGTGTATGTCACTACACGTGTTCCTCCAAGTCCTACCACCACCAGGCTGAGCCTGGTTGCCTCTGGGGCACCTTGGCTTACATACTCTACTTCACACTCTTCCTTGTACCGGCTGTGGCAAGGTTTCACGTTCTTTTTCATGGCAATGAAGAACTTCATTGTTGTAGCATAATCCGGTTCTGGACCGGTTATGCCTGGCCCAGGAGGGAGCTTTCGAGCTCTCCTTGGTTCTTCAGAGCTGCTCCCTTCCGGGGTGCCCACTGGAGCTGGAGGGCTTGCATCCTCCAGGCTTTCAAAGTCCTTCTTTTCCTCCTTTACTGCTGCCTGGTTTTCACCAGGTGCTAGCTGCAGGCTCCGGCTCTTCTTGCGTTGCTGCCTGGTTTTCACCAGGTAGGTTGGGTGAAGTCTCCTGTGGAGACCAGGCCGGCTCTGTTGGGCTCGGTTCCTCCTTGGCCGGTTCTTTCTCCGGCTTTTCTGGGCTCTCCTCCTCTTCCTGGTCTTCACCAGGTTCGCTCTGCTGCTCCTCTTTGTGTTTGGGCGAACTAGAGGAAGAAGAGGAGCTGCTGCTGGGTTCACCAGCTGGGCCGCCCTGCGCTGTGGTGGCTTGCCCTTGGCGTGCCCTGGCCCCTGTCCTGATTGTCTCAAGGAAGCCCGCCGTGGGCTGGGGTTTTGGAGCCGCAGGCGGCTCCTCCTCTGTACTGTAGTACGAGTACTGTTCGGCAGCGGCCTCCGGAGCTGGGGTCGCGGCTTCCATTGCTGCCGCAGGGCCGCTTCCTGGCCGGGAGCGGCTTTGGAGGCACCTGGGCTTTGCCTTCTCCTTTTTCTGGCCCTTTTCCTTTTCCTTTGCTAGGGGCTTTCTCTTTTCCTTTCTCCTTTCCTTTTCCTTCCCTTTTTCCTTGCCTTTGTCCTTTCCTTTGCTCTCCTTTCCTTTGGCGCCTGAACCTTGCCACGCACCAGGGGGTGGAGGGATTCCCCTGGTTTTGTGGCCTTGCTAGCGCTCCTTCTTTCCCGGACGGTTCCTGTTGAACCACTCTTGTAGTCCGAGAGAGGGGCCCTGGCAGGAGTGTTCCCTGGTCGTGCACCAGGCCTCTCCCAAGAGCTGCTTGGCTCCCAGGAACTTCTGGGGGCCTCTGTTTGCGCAGCTTCATCGTCTGCAGGCTCCTGGTTTTCACCAGGGTTCACTTCCTGGTTTTCACCAGGATTATCTTCATGGTCGTCTCCATTGTTGGGTTCCTGGCCCTCACCAGGAGCATCGTTTGCCATGGCAGGGCTCCGCTGGATGAAACCCAGCTCTGAGCCAAAAGCTTCCACTCAAAATTTCAGTCTAGTTTGTTTGGGGTCCTCACTGTGGGGCCTGGCTAGACCAGTTTTTGGTTTGGGCTTTGCTTTGGGGCCTTTCTCCAGGTTTTGGCGGAGCTGAGCCTGGACCGGTTTTTCAGGTGAGCCTTCAGGCTTAGCTTGGGAGGGGACCTTTCCAGAGGTCTGTGTTTTGGCCTGCTTTTTGGGCTGCACGGGTTTGGGCACCCTTAGGTTTAGGCTCTTCGCTACTGGATGCTTGGAGCTGCGCCACACAAGGACCGCTTGAGCCTTACCTGGGTAAATTCCCACCTCTCAAGCAGCCTTTCAGGCCAAATTTGGGCAAGAAAACTGGTGGCGCTGGAAGCAAACCAGGCGGTCGATAAGCTGGTGCAAGCAGCAGCTAACCAGCGAAGAGACCTCAAATGGGAGCAACAAGTGCTCATAAAAGATAGGGTAGTGTGCCGCATCAATGTCTTCCTGGCAAACCGAGTGCAGGATCTGTTCCAGTATGGCACTGGTGAAGGACCACAGGTAGTTTTCCCTGAAACACCTGGTGTCAAAAACCAGGAAAAGAAAACCCCTAAGAAAAAGCCAGGGCCCAAGATCAAGACCAACCTCCAAACCAAAGGGAGGAAAAAGGCAACTGGTGACAAACCAGTGCAACCAAGCCAGAGTGAAAGGCCCCAACAAAAGGCAACAGTTGGAGGCGCTCTTGGCAGGCCATGGGCCAACCATGGGGCATGAATGGCGTGAAGGGCACCGGGGCAGAGACAACTTGTGTGTTAACTGCACAAGATGCGGGCACTACATCCAACAAGTAGAGTCCAAAGCCGTGTTTGCCAAGAAAATTGGCCACACGTGCAAGTGGATGGAGCCGTCGGCCCCATGCATGGGGGAGCACCCGTCGCACAAGATGGTCAATGCAGGCCGCATGTGGGTCTGCTGCAAGTGTGGAGTCCGGCAGTGGATCGGTCGCCAAGAGCTTTTCCCGAGCTTAGGAAAGCAATGCAGGCAGGTATACACGGGCAAGGACCCGGAAATCTTGCAGTGCATTTAAAAGTTTGCTCCGCAAAAATCTGGGTTTTTCAAAGAAGGGGACAGGAACACGAAAGACAGCCGTGGGGGAAGTAGGGCTGTGCCTGGGACTGTTGAGGATGATGTGGCTGGTGATGCTACTGGTGCCCTGCTTAAGCACTTCGGCACCTCTTGGCAGTCCAAGGTAATGTCTATCATCCCTTTGTCTTCTGGGTGAGAAACAGAAGGGCGGAAGATTCTGCCCTAAAGATTGTTTGCTGGCCCTCTACCTGTCGCTTTACCTACGACCTCTATCCCATGGGCGTGCTTCTTGAAAGCAATGGCCCCCCAGGTTAGCACCTGAAAGCGCGTATCCTGGGATGCACCAGGGCTGCCGTCAGTGGCGTAAAGGATAGAAGGATCTTCTACTTGCAGCAGCTGGGTGAAGACACCTTCTACCGTGACCTGTTGCTCAAAGGTGGCTGGTCTGGGTTGCGGTGGCCCCAGCCCTCGCAACCAGAGGCTGGGGTCAGGGTATTTTCCCACCAGGTACACTCCCACAAGACGTGGCTCAAGGTGGCCTCCTTGTTGCAACGGGCGCACACTGCCCCTTTGCCGTGCCTTATGGCTCCTTGCCAAACAGCCACTAGGGCATTGCGATGGAGCTTGCTGGGGCTCTTTTTGAGCACTTTTCGCGGGGCGTGCCACTCTATGCCATCATTAAGGCTTTCTTCTTTTTCGCTCTGAGACAAGGCCTGCCAGCGCCATTTGTCACAGGTGCGCTTCAGCTCAGAGCTGAGGCGGTGCACGCTAGCCCTGTCTAGGATATGAAAGGTTTCTTGGCACGCCTTCCATTCCGTGAGGGAGTGGGCCTCCCATCCGAGGGCCTTAAGGTAGCACGCCGCAGCCCCAAAAGGGCCAACCACCACTCGCCACGGCTCCTTGTGGTGCTGGATTTTCCGGATCCAGGCATGCTCCAGTTCTTGGAACGGCGTTTGGTTCCATTCCGCCAGCAGCTTGTGCAGGAAGCGAAAATGCTGGTTGATGATCGTGTAAGTGGGGTCTTCGTGCTTGTTGGTGGCCTGTTCAATTACCGCCTCTGTGGATCCCAGGCTCATCCTGCCCAGCACGCTGGCGTGCTGATGGCGGACCCATTTGAGGCGCTTTGGTGCAAGGCCAAGCGCAACGTGCCCATAGAGGGCGACCCCAAAACCTCCCTGCTTGTTTGCAGTCGTGTGCGCCTTCTGTGGCGGCGCAAGCTGCCCCAAGCGGCGCTGCCTCTTAGTGCCTTTTGTGAACCAGGCCTTGTGGGTGGTAACGCGCCTTGGCTAAGGGTTTGACCTGCGGGTCATCTGCCTTCAGAAGCTTTTTCAACTCCTTTTCTGCCCTTGGGTTAGAGCACACCCAGGCACTTTTTCCCGCACTGAGCGGGAGTTTCGCTCTGTCCAATTGCTTCTTTACCCTGGTCCACACCAGGTATGCTTGTTTGGCACACACCTTGGCGTCCTGATTGGCGATGTCAAAGCCAGTGTCGTCGATGTACAAGTCGACGTGGCATTTCGGTGGCCCTTTCCAAATGGGTTCCACCACTTCATGCATTATCAACTTTGACAACCCAGGCGCCAATGGACAGCCAGCAATGATTCCTTTCGTGGCCACAATCGGCGGCGCACAAGTGCCTTTTACTGCGGTAGACCTGCATCGCACCGTGCAGGAGAAGCGGTGGGTATTTATGTTTGAAGGCTGCCTTGACCAGTGCTCTGTGTAACACATTTTCGTAGAAGCCACGAAGGTCAAGAAGGAGCGTAATGCCAGTTTTCCCACTCTGTCTGTAGAAAACCAGTGCTCTGCCCAGTAGTGTTTAGGTGCGACACAGAGTTTTCCTCGGTACCTGTATAGTTGTACAGTTTTGCTAGTTTCAGGTGGTCAGTGCCTGTAGAACGTAGTTTGAGCTTGCGTGACGGTTTTGCGGTAGCCTCAACCTGTTTTCCCTTGTTTTGTAGTGCTTGGGAGCTTTTAAGAGGTGCCACGACTACTGTCGTTTGGCTCAAGACACGTGAGACCAGCAGTGAGCTGTGCGTGCTGAAAGTGTGAACTGTCCGAGTGTTTTGTGAGCTTGCTTTGCTTGCAAGGGTGCTTGGAACTTGTTTGCCTTAAACCTGAAGTGCTGTTCGCCTTGTAGGTTTTTAACGTGGTAGCGGAGCGTGGTGAACGCTCGTTGCCTTGCAACCAAAAGAAAGAGCCCAATACGTTGACTTGAGGCGTGTTGCTTGCTTGGTTGTGCTTGTGAGAAATGGAAGGCCGTGGCAGGCCAAGCTACTTCAACATCGGTGATGTGCCAGGTGAGCCTGGTATGATCCGAAGGAATAGTAGGTCAGACGCTGCGCCGCCTTACCAGAGGCCGAGAGCAAGCAGTGTGCCTCGGGGTGCTGCCTTTAGTCCGGTGTCGAACTTGTCGGCTCTGGAACGGGGTATGCATCCAACCGGAAGCCCGGTGGTGGGAAGCCCAGCTGGCTCGCCGAACCCTCTTGGAGGTGTGTTGCCACCGCCACCAGGTTTGCCAGAGTTTGGTGGAGTTTCGCCAGTGAATGCACCATCACCGCCCACCGTGGAGACGTTTCTGTACCAGACGGTGCAGCAGCAGCAGCAGCAAGTTGCCCAGCTTACGTCTCTAGTTCAGGCTCTTGTGAGCAGGGAAGTGCCTGCGCCACCTACTGCGAGAGGCAAGGGCCACGGTGGAGAGCTTAGCTCCATCTCCGATTCGTCGGGGAAAATGGAGGTTGATGAGGGAGGTGCTCCCATCAGGAATCCCAAAGCTGAAGCTTATGTTCCTAAGCTGCCTGCAATTGATGGTGGAAAGATGAGCAAAGGCCGTCGCTCGGAGATCGAAGGATGGGCTGAGTTCCTGGAGCAATTCCTGCCGTGGATTGCTCTCTTTGATGATAGGATCCCGGAAGAGCTTCATCGATCGATTGCTTCTGAGGTCACCATCAAGCAGTCATCGCTTGAAAAGGGACAGAGCGTGCGTTCAACTAGGACCTTCTTGTACCTGAAGCAAGCGTTGCAAGGGTTTGCTCGTGGGCTTGACTTGGTTAAGCAAGTAGAGAAGGAGCAGCTTGGCTCCCCAGCTGGGTACGAGTGCATAAGGAGGTTGCATCAGGAGTTGTCTGTTGCGAGCCGCATCGAGGCTTCGACGCTTCGGAATGAGGCCCTGCAGTACCGCGCGAGCACTCCTGCCAATCGTCCACTTGACATGTTTCGGAACATCCAGTTGGAGCTTGCCAAGTTTACCCGCTTGACCGCAGGGTTCCCAGATCTTGCGTTTAGTGAGGCAGACCGTTGCATGATTGTTTTGAGAAATCTTGATGTTGAAGTGAAGAAGTATGTTCTTTTGCATGCTAGGGTTGACTCCATGGATCAGCTTGAGACTGCTTTGAAGTTTTATGATGCCAACCTTAAGATCCTGAATTTCCAAGAGAAGGAAGGAAAGGGAGCAGCAAAGGATCACGCGAATGCTTTGACCTTCGGAGACAAGGGAAAGGGCAAGAAGGGTGACAAAGGAAAGGAAGAAAAAGGAAAAGGAAAGGACAAAGGAAAGGACAACAAGAAAGGGAATGAGAAAGGAAAGGAAGAGAAAGGGAAAGGTGGAAAGGACAAAGGCAAGGACAAGGGGAAGACTGCAGCCGCAAAGGACGGCAAGCAAGGTTCTGGAAATGACAAGGAGAAGGAGAAGGAGAAAGCAGAGCGCTTGAAGAACGTCAAGTGTTACAACTGTGACCAGTTCGGGCACTACTCGAATAAGTGTCCCAAGCCCAAGAGGGAAAGAGCATCAGCAGCTGCTTTGCTTGAGCCGCAGGTCGCGGCTGCCTCTTTGGAGCCTCAGATTTTCGCAGCTGCGGTTGATCTGAGTTGTCCGGTTGTTGAGCTTGATGAGGATGATTGCTCGGATTTTTCCCAGGAGGATTGGGAGGAGTTTGTTGCATCTTATGAGTGTGCTTGGTCGGAGCCTGTTGTGCTTGAAGGCGGTGAGCCTGTTGCGCTTGAGGGTTCCATGTTGCATGTTGCGCTTGACCATTTTCCTTGTGACAACCCAAACAGAGCCACAGTTGAGCTTGCAGAGTCCCGCGGTGTCCCAAACAGAACCACAGTCGAGCTTGCAGAGTCCCACCAGGTCCCAGACAGAACCACAGTCGAGCTTGCAGAGTCCCCAGAGTTGAGCTTGGAAGCAGGTCGTTTTGTTGCAGATTTTCAAAATGTCGTTGAGCATGGCATGTTGCATGTGGTAGGTAGATCTGACCATGGCATGGTAGCACACGAGACAGCAGCAGCCAGCCAGCAGCATGACACCATGGATTGGTGGCTCGTTGACTCCGGCGCGTCGGCCCACATCATCAACGAGGACACTTTGAGCCGGGTGCACGTTGTGAGCCACAGTGAGTCTGCCAGTGAGTGTGTTTCTGCAACGGGTGACAGCATTGGAGTTCGGAGGTCTGCGGTTGTCAGGGTTCCATTCGTTTTGGTTTCGGGCGAGACGGTGGTAACAGAACTCCAAGTGCTTGTTGCTCCTGTGAAGTTTAACCTGCTGTCCTTAGGGCGTTTGCTGGGCAAGAGCTGGGTTGTGGATTTCCTGCCAAGTTTTAAAGTTGAGGCCGCTGGGTACGTTCTTCGCACGAGATGGGTCTCCAATTGCGGATGGGTTTTCTCGAGTGCTGTTGAGCTTGACCTTTCCGTTGCAGTTGCCGCCCGAGCGAGCTTGAAGCGTAGTGACGGCTGTGCTCCTTCGTCGGGAAGGCCTTCTAAGAAGGATGAGGAGGAGCAACCGGGCACCCGAGGAGTCCTCCTCCGACTCGGAGCAGGAGTGGCGCCTTTCGGGTCGCCGCCACCTGGCGGAGCAGCACGCGGCGACTGTTACGAGGACTCACGAGGATTTCGAGGGATCCACGATCGCCTTTACGGCAACCTCGATGGTGGGTCTTACGCCGGGCCAGAACCTGCTTTTGGTGCCAGCCGCGGAAGTGAAGAAGAAGACGGCAGAGCAGGCAAAGGCAGCTGCGAAAGCAGCGGCGGAGAAGTTCGTGAAGGAGCGCCAGGAGAGCGCCCAGTGGGCCAAGGAAGCAGAGGAAGCAAAGAAGAAGAGAGCCGCCAAGGCCGAGGCAAAGAAGAAAGCAGCCACAGAGGCCGAGGAGGCAGAGAAGAAAGCAGCCACAGAGGCCGCGGAGACAGAGAAGAAAGCAGCCACAGAGGCCACGGAGGCAGAGAAGAAGGCAGCCACAGAGGCCGTGGAAGCAGAGAAGAAGGCAGCCACAGAGGCCAAGAAGAGGGTCGCCGAAGCGATCGGGGTCCCAGAGGTCAAGAAGCCCAAGGGCAGTGTGGCCAGAGCAAAGGCGGAGCCGTCTTCGGGGTCAAAGGACCCACCACAGCCACTGGTGAAGAGGCAGCCCAAGCCGCCCGTGGTGAAGGCAATGCCAGCCAAGGTCCGGAAGATCGTCTTGAAGAGCCGGGCCCAGCGCGGGATTCCCGGGCAGACGGAGACTGCGCTGAGAATGCTTTCGCAGCGAGCCAAGGAAAAGAAGAAGCAGGGCTACCTCATGAAGGCCATCAACAACGCCATGAAGAAGAAGGCCGAGGAGCACAAGGGGCCTCCGGTGCGGAGGACATTGGAAAGACATGTCAAGGACCACTTCGCGCAAATCAAAGGCCTGGAAGTTCCTTTCGTGGAGGTCACGGTTTCAGAAGTCATCAAGGAACCCCCAGGACCACCAGGATCGCCAATGGTACCGCAACCGAGAACACCACCAGCACGAGCCAAGGTGGAGGCCGCGCGTGCAGTGAGGGTGCCACAGCTGAAGGTGGAAGGAGGCTTGGAGATCAATCCCCCACCACCGGTACCGCCGCGGAGGAGGCTTCCCACGCCACCGAGAGACCCGAGGTCAGCCGGACGAGGGGCCTCTGCGCCCTCAGAGTGGTCACCTGTGTCCAGTCTGCCGCCATGGTCACCAGTGTCCAGTGTGCCGGTGGATGCAAGGGCCAGGGAAACCCCAGCCGAGACGAGAGCCGAGGAGCCCCCAGCAGAGAGGAGAGCCGAGGAGCTTCACATCGGGGACGACGGCAAGATCTACAACTCGCGGGGCGAGGTGGTGGAGCTCGAGAGCATCGAGATAGAGTGAGCCATGGCGGTGCACAAGGATCCTCCAAGGACGCCCGCCAATCTTCCGAGGACGCCCACCATCCAGGAATATCCGATGGTCCTTCTTCCTTGGGACTCTCGCTTCTGATGCAAGAAAAGGTTGCGTTTGCATGTGAGCATGATGTTGCCGTTGAGCTTGGTGAGCATGCGTGTGTTGGTGGTTTGGGTGAGCATGATTTGCAGCATGATGAGTTGTTTGAGCATGTTGGTCAGGACCGACCACAGCGTGACCGGAGCGAGGCCCATGATAGCCAGAGTGAAGCATGGTTGCTTAGAGGGGATCGGGAACTGTTGTTGCAGGAGAGTTGGGGTAAGCTAGAGCGAGAACATGTTCTTAGATCGCATGTGCCGTACAATGCGTCTTGCCCGCAGTGTGTGCAAGGTCGTGGGCTTGAACCCGCCAGAAGCCAGGATCGGCCCCAGGACCCAGGGATGAGAGAGGTGCAGATAGATAAGTTTTTCTACAAGGGCCTCGCCTTCCTGGTGTTGGTTTTGGTGGGTGCTTTTGCCCTCGGTGTGGTTCCGTATCGTGAGGTGAGCGGATCCCGAGGCCCAGCAGCCAAGGAAGCCATGTTGAGTGACATGTCGGCATGGAGTCGTAGCGTTGGCTTGGTTGGTGTTGCTCCCAGTGAGTTGACGGTGAGTGTGAAGTCGGACATTGAGGGTGTTGTGAAGAACCTTGCGCAAAGTTTTGCTGATGGTTTGACCGCTGGTGCCATCGAGGTTGTGGATGCCCCTGTTGGTCGGCATGCTGTTGTTGCAGAGCGTGCTGTGAGGACCATCAAGGAAGGTGCAAACACACTTTGTGCTGGGTTGGAACAGGTCGGCTTGGAGCCCTGCGGGAAGGGTGTCACGTATCTTTTGATGCACGTTGCCCAGGTCTACAACCGGTACCAGGTGCATCCTGGATCAGCGCTGTCCCCAGAACAGCGGTGCTTGAAGACCACCCGTGGACCGCATGCCGCCTATGTTTGGGGGGCTGCTGTGCTTGCCACTCCTCCTCCCTCTTTGCGTGATAAAATCACCGGCCGTTACGGCCACGCCGCCTACCTTGGACCAGAGGTCGGAAGTGGAAGCCACATTGTGCAGTTTAGGCTGCGGGATGGCACTTTGAAGATTGCGAGAAGCGCAAGAATCCGGATGTTGGTTCCTCTCACTTTTGAGGTGTCGAGCTTGAAAGGTGTTTGCCGCATGTTGCCCGGAAGAAAGGATGATTCCCAGAAGAAGCTCCCAGAGAGCAGTGGTGACAATGTGCGCGACCTCCCGTTGCCGAACACCGCAACCCGAGGACCACCACCAGAGTGGATTGAAGAAAACGGGAGAACCCCAAGGTGCCGAGCTTGCCGGCTGCGCGGTTTTCCAGCAGATAAGGCCTGGCACACCCAGAAGTGCCGTGATCGATACGCTGAGTTTGTGAGAAACTCTTTCGATCCCAGCCGGGCAATCCTCGATCAAGCCCCAATTGAAGAAGAAGTGACCGGGCGTGATGATTTGGGTGCTGGATTTGGTGTTGATCTTGGGCTTGAGGTGCCGGATGATCTTGATCCGTTCCCGAATTTTCCGTTGGATGAGGATTTGGCTGAGTATGAGCCCAGTCTGCCTGGAGTTGAGAATGAAGTAGAGCTTGGAGAAGAACTCGAGCAGATCGAGGCCCCGAGCCCAGGCGAGCTTGATTTTATGCAAGTTGATCCTGAACCTCTTGAGGCACTCCCTGAAGAAGAGCGGGAGGCCATGGTGTCCAGTGTGATGTACCGAGAGTCCATCTCCTTTGCTGGTGCGTCGGTTTGTTTTGCGGGAGCCGCCACCAAGGTTGTTACTCCTCAGGTTGTCGAGCTTGGGGGGGAGAAGCTGCTTGTCGAAGTGCCAGCTTCTGCAAAGGATGATGTGACGGGGCACCTGCTTGATATTGGCTTGACCTATGAAGGCATGTTGCGTGAACTTCGTGCTCTTGAATCGCTTGCTGTCGGTGATGTTGTGTGGCATGTTGATCCGAAGCAGAAAGTGATCTCTACAAGGTGGGTCTCCAATGCCAAAGTAGAGCGTGTTGAGGGGAAGGAGAATCCGCTTGTCAGGTGTCGGGTAGTTGCTCGTGACTTTGCGCAGGGAGCGACCGCGGCACAGCTTGGCATCTCTGCTGCCACAAGCTCTGCAGAAGCGCTGCGAACTTTTCTTTTCTACGCGGGTTCCAAGAGGAGGAACATTGTTGGGTTGGATGTGAGCACCGCGTTTCTCTTCGCGGACCTCGACGAGGAAGATGGCCACATTGTGGTCAGGCTGCCAGACGGAGTGAAGGGCAAGGACGGCCGCCGTGGCTACTTGCGCCTTAAGAAGGCCCTATATGGTCTAAGAGTCGCAGCTCAGACCTGGTCGCGTCACCTGGCAAAGCTGCTGAAGAAGCTCTGTGACCTGGAGCCCTGTGAAACTGAGGCTTGTTTGTTTTCAGGCTCTGTGCTTGGAGGCCAGCGTGTGGTTGTTCTTTGCTACGTTGATGATCTTCTCATCACCGGAGACAGCGATGAAGCCATCTACCATGTGGTGGAGCAGCTGAAGACCGCTGTGAAGGTGAAGGTCACAGCCGATCTGGACCGCGACGGTCAGATCACCTTCCTTGGAAGACAGATTGCCCGAGAGCATTCTAGTGACTCCCTGTGTGTCACCATGTCCGATTCCTACTACGAGGAAATCTACAAGGGTTTCTTCGGGAACTCCAAGGTGACCGCGTGTGGCACGCCGCCCAACCTAAAGGAGTTGTACGACAAAGAAGATCCTTGTTTGGAGAAACCCCTGTCTTCTGAAGCTGCTGCGAGGTTTCGCAGTTCCCTGGGAAGGATGTCATGGCTTGCGATGACGAGGGTGGATGTGGTCTACTACGTGAGCATGCTGGCCCGAGGCCAGGCGAATCCACTCGAGAAGCACGAGAGAGCTATGAGAGCTATGTTGCGTTACTTGAAGTATATTCAGGGTTTTAAGCAGGTAGTGAACCCGGTTGATGAAGAGAACCTGCGCCTTGATTGCTATGTGGACGCTTCCTGGGGTAGCGAGAAGAACGTTGACAGGAAGAGCATCAGCGGAGGGTGCGTGATGTTGGGAGGCTTCTGTTTGAAGGCCTGGAGTCGTCTGCAACAGGCTGTTGCCTTGAGTTCTGCCGAGAGCGAGCTCTATGGGCTTGTGGAGGGCGCGAAAGAGGCTCTCTCTATCCGCCGCGCCATCTCGCATGTCTTTGGATGGGCAGATCTGCCAAAGCCCCATCTTTTCTGTGACAGCGAGGCTGCAGTTGCTATCAGCAAGGCTGATGGGCTGAGGAAGGTGAGGCACATTGACCTTAGGGCGTGCTTTATCCAAGACCAGCTCAGGCAAAAGCAGATTTTTATCTTTGGCGTGCGCGGTGAAGCCAATGTTGCAGATTTGTTCACCAAACCTCTGAGTTGGACTGTTACCTTGAAGCACATGTGGGGACTTGGCTTGCGTGACGTTGCCGTTATTGCTTGTGTGCTTGATGGCTTTGTTGCGTTGTGCGGTGCAATGCTTGTTGGTAAGAACCATGTTAGCTTGCGTGACCGTTTTGTCGCCATGCCGCATGCCTCTTGGTTGGTGATTGAGTTCTGTGCCCCCGTTGAATCATCAATGAGAGCGGCTAGCCAGGACTTAAACTGGGTGAATGTGCTTACTGTGAGTGAGCGTGATGATGGTGCCAGTGCACAGACCTTGCTTGAGCTCAAAGCCATCTTTGCTGAGCAGATCAAGAAGAAGGGTTTTGTATTCTTGTGGGCTAGTACCCCGTGCACAGGAGGCTGCCCGTATCAGAGGCTTCGTGCCCGTGATCCAGCTTATCGCCGAGGGCGGTTGGCTCAGCACTGGAGGCTTCACCGGAAGCTCTGGAGAAGTTTGGTCGAGCTTACTAGCTTTGTGCATGCTTGGGCCATTGAGTGGCCGCGTGCTTGTGCTTACTGGTCTTGGCGCCAGACTGAGCATTTTCTTTCCTCACGCCCCTACGTTTTGCACGACGTTCCAGTTGATGGTTGTGCGCTTGATATGCGGGGTCGCGATCATCTGCTGATCGCCAAGCGATGGCGTGTTGTTACCACACACCCAGCAGTCGCTGAGAGCATTCGTGTCTATCGTTGCTCTGGGAAGCATGAGCACTCGAAGGACTTCGACCTCAAGAGTACACAGCACTACCCGGTAGAGCTTGTAAAGTCCTTCTTCGAAGCGTTGCGCTCTTGACTTTTTACGAGAGTCTTGTCGTTGTCGAGGACATGTTGCTACATGTTTGCTGCGCAGCCCGTTTGCTCAAACTTTCCGGTGTTTTCTTTCTTTGCCAGGACGTTTAAGATGTCTCTGGTCCCTTTCGCTGCCGAGCGTGCCATGGTGTTTGGCCTGGTTGTGGAAGTGCAAGAGAAGCTTCTCGAAGTTCCGAGTGTAGGGCTTCTCGCTGTTGTGCTTGTCCCACTGCTTGTGGGTGTTGCGCTTGGAGTGTGCTTGCAGAAACTGCGTACCGAGAGCTCCCGCGTCAAGACTGTGCAGGACCTTCTTTCGTTTCTGCCAAGGTCGGGCCAGAAGATGGCTGTCTTTACTTCTGCTTACGGAGACTGTTTCCACGTGCGTAGGGACTGCCACGGCCTCAGGAACGCGATTCCGAATCGCATCGCTACTAAAGTGGCGTGCGAGTACTGTTTAAGGGAACTCCACCTGGTACCTCCGACAGCTTCTGCGTCGTGGGGGGGTGTAGAAAACCAGTGCTCTGCCCAGTAGTGTTTAGGTGCGACACAGAGTTTTCCTCGGTACCTGTATAGTTGTACAGTTTTGCTAGTTTCAGGTGGTCAGTGCCTGTAGAACGTAGTTTGAGCTTGCGTGACGGTTTTGCGGTAGCCTCAACCTGTTTTCCCTTGTTTTGTAGTGCTTGGGAGCTTTTAAGAGGTGCCACGACTACTGTCGTTTGGCTCAAGACACGTGAGACCAGCAGTGAGCTGTGCGTGCTGAAAGTGTGAACTGTCCGAGTGTTTTGTGAGCTTGCTTTGCTTGCAAGGGTGCTTGGAACTTGTTTGCCTTAAACCTGAAGGGCTGTTCGCCTTGTAGGTTTTTAACGCTGTCGGTACATTTCCCCTTTGAGGACCCTCGTCACTGCAACCTCAAGGGATGAGAGGCCTTTGACTGCTCTGTCCCATGGTGCTGTGGCCTTGTACTGCTTTGACCATTCATCATAGAGATGATACCTGGTACACCAGGCACGGTAAGCATACGACGTGAGCCCTATCGGGCGTTCTTCCGTCTCTTTCTTGGCCAGCAGGGCGACGAGTGTCATAGTCACTGTTGCAGGCATGCAGCCACTCTGTTCCCGGTCTCTGAAGGCCCTTGTCACCAGGGCCACCTGGTCAGGGGTTAAAGCTCTGAACATCTGGGCCGATATGCCGTCTGGCCCGACAGCCTTCTTGGCTATCCTGCTCAGTACTGCAGCGACCTCCTCCTGTTTTAGAGGTCCTATTTGCTCCAGTTGACGGAGCGCACCAGCCTTGAGCTGGTCAAAGACTGGATCTTGTTGGGGCTGGTTTCCTGGCCTGGGTTGCCACACCAGCTTCCAGTCTTGACGGCGAAGGTGCGGCCTCAGTTCCCCACTCTGTTCCCGGTAGGGCCTCGCCTGGACGTTTTCCGGCGATTCGGCCTTAGCTTTCTGAAGCACCGTTTGGACAACTTGGACGTCAGTGTCATGTCCAATCATGTAGGCTTCTTGCGTGGCCTGGATTGCACCAGGTTTGTCTGGGCTGTCAGGGTCCCAAAACTGGTGCATTTGGCCCAACTGGCGCTTGAAAACTTTAAACTGCGACGGCTTGAGGGGTCTTTCTTGTTTTTGGCGCACCCAGAGCAACATTCGCTCCCAATACGCCACTTTACCCCCATTCCAGGGCTTCTGGGGTGGAGTGGGGTGGACCAGAGGCTCCCTTTTAACTGGGAAACACCAGCTCCTGCCGTGCTGGTCCATACCAACCTGGGCCTCCAGCTGGTGGACCAGTGCCCCCCATTTCACCTGCTCAGGCTGGCCATTGGGTGGCTCAAACATCGCAGTGATTTGCAGGACCTCTTGAAAGTCTGGGTGCTCCTGGTTTTCACCAGGTTCAGGTGTGAACCAGGTTGCCTGTGGCACAGGCAAACTCACGCCTCCTTTGTGGATTGTGTAGGTGATTGCAGCGTGCGGCTTGAACGCACTTCCCAGTTCACTTCAGCTAGGATGCAGCTGGCAATCTCTGCAGAGGCGATGGCATAATCAATTTGAGACCCTTGTGTGGTGGTCTCTTCCGCTGGTTGCACCAGCTTTCCTTTAAGCATTCTCAGCACACCTGCCGAGACAAGTTCTTCCGGCGTGACATTCCAGTCTCCAGTGAGGATCCAGGGAATGCGAAGTTCTTGCACAGTAACAGCCAGCTCTGCCAGGATTTGGGGGTTGACTCCACCACCTGGTCCTTTGCCGGACTCAAGGTACACGTTACCAACTGCAAGCTCCCATCCCTGAAACCTTATGCCAATGAGAACACAACCTTTGCCTTGTTCTCCAATGGTGTGCAAGTGCCTTGTTTGCCAATGCCTTTGCGCAGCGGTTACAAGGCCTCCTGTGGTGCCTCCTTGAGTAGCCTCTGCCGGGTACGGCCAAGAGTCCAAGGAGACTGCTGCCAAGCCTGCAACCAGGCCTTCTTGTTTTCCTTTGTCAATGTGTGTCTCCTGAAGGCAGGCAACATGACACTGGTTGGACACCAGCCATTGCCGGACCTCGGACCTGTACTGAGTGACATTGGCCTGCAGGATGGTGCAAACTCCTCGGTTGGGCTTGCTGTCAACCTGCATTTTGAGGTCTTCAATACAGGCCAAGATGCCTATGGTGTCCTCTTCGTCTGCCTCCAAACATTCTGGGATGCGGTTCGCAACCCAGAAGCCTAGAGTCTCCGGCTCCAATCCAAGGTGTGCTCGAACTCCTCTATCCACGCCAGTAGTTGAGCCGATTTGGCCTGCATGCAGTCAGCAGGTTCCTGAACCAGGATGTCGGAAAGGCGACACCAGTCCTTCCTGGTTGGCTTTGTCCTGGCTATCTGACTGGCACTGATTGTGGTAGCTGGCGAGCCGCCCTGGTTTGGAACACCAGGGGCTGAGGCTTTGAGATCCTCAATGCCTGCAATAATGCCGACGGTATCCTCTTCTCTGGTTTCCAAACACTCCACCAGATGATACACCAACCTGTGCGCCTGGGTACCTGGGATCAGACTGTGCTCGTTTGTCTCAATCCATTCCAAAAGTTTGGCCTCCTTTGCTTGCATGCAGAGCTGAGGCTCTTCTTTCAAGATGCTGGATAATTGGCACCAGCTTTCCCTGGTAGGCGCACCAGGCGGGGCTTTACTGGTAGGAGTGCTTGGGACTCCCTGGGTGGGAGGTCGTTGCTGGTACCCCAGCTGGTTCTCTGGGCGTGCCTGGTAAACACCAGGTGGTGAGGTGGCAGGCAAGGGCGCCTCCAAAGCTGCTGCCCTTTCCATTTCCTCCTCCAAATCCACCGGAAAATACAAGGCCCCAGATAGAGCCGCCTCTCCAACTTGTGGCCAAACTCCAGGTATAGGCTCACCACTGCCTGTCCCTGTAGTCCACATATCTTCCGCCTGTTTCCATACCCACGTTGAGCATGACTCGCAGCACCACCCGAACGGTTTCTGCCGTAGGTAGTGCGCCTTTTTGGCATACTGTTCCAAAATTGGCGAGCAGACCAGGGGCTGCACATTTTGGACGACATGTTTTTCCGCCAGCCATAGTGCAGCACACCAGTCCTCGCTGGTTTGCACCAGCCTACTGGTAGGCTGACTGCATAAAGCACAAAACTGCTGTTGCTGATGCACCATTTCGCTGGGTGGCACCAGCTTTTGTTCTTTTAAAAAGGACCCTGCATCGACCAAAATGGTCGCCGGGCTGTGGCTCTTGTGACGCAAAATTTTCCATGGCAGAGGAAAAGGGCCTACTTGGGGGACCCATCCAGGACGGCACCATGGCACCCACCATCCTAGTAAAGCCCCCTGCCCTATGCCTCAGTCTTCCTCTTTCTCCCCATCATTGCGGGAGATCGGATTGCTGCGAACCCTTCGGGGCTTCATGGGCCCGAAAGTCCACGGGGACCCGGAGTTGGCACTGAAGGAGTTGGAAGTCATGGGAACAAAGGACCCAAGGTTTCCCGGAGGATCCTCATCATCATCCTCATCCATGTCCAGTTCCCTTTCCTCCTTCCTCGTTTGCAGGTATGCAGACAAGGCCCCTTCCTGCGTGGCAGACAGCTCGACTCCCGCAACCTTCAAAAGGCCCTGGAGATCATGCACTTCCTTGGCCTCTGGCGGCTCAGCATTCTTGAGCTGCTCCTGCACCTGGTTCTGCACCTTCCCCAGGTTGTCCTTCGCCTTCTCGATGGCCTTTGAAACATCTGCCAATTCTTTGAGGGCCTTCTCAAATTGGGCCTTGATCTTATCAGCTCGCGCTTGCAGCCTCACTTTGCGCTCCACCAGGTTCCTGTGATCCTGGGTGATCGACTTGTAGGCCGAAAGGTACTTCTGCAGCGTGACCCTTGGGTCATCACTCTTGTCCTCTGCCGGTGGCTCAATGCCACAAGCTCGAAGGACCTTCTGTGCCTGTGGATCTGCATCCTGCCACAGACTGGCAACGGCATTCGTACTCCTGGGGAGTCATCTGAGCACCGGTCCATCCCAGTCCTGCTGGATACTCCATCTGCTTCTTAGGCCTGCGCGGCTGCTGCCATGCTGGTTCCCACCAGCTCTGCTCCTTCTGCATGTCCTGGCGAGCCCAGGCTTGCCACTTGTTCCAGTCCTCCTGGCTGTTGCGCGCCGGGCTCTGAGTACTCGGTGGCTGGCGCGGCGGCGTGGGCCCTGGCCAGGCCGCACCGCAATGCCAACAGCATGGGTACCATGCCTTTTCTGTCTTCCACACCCAGCCCACTCCGCACTGGGCACACTCCATGTGGTACTTTGTCTTCGGCATGGCCCTGGTTACCCTAGCCTGGCGACACCAGGTGCCTGTCAGCTGGAAAGCTTACTGGTTGCACCAGTGAGCTGGTAGCACCAGCAAAAAGGCACCAAGTCCGAGGACTGGTTGCCTATGGCGCTACCCCCCGTGAGTTGCGGGACAGCCCGCCTACGAGAAAACACAAGGTTGGGTTTGGGTTCTGTTTGGGCCCACACCTAGGTACGGCC